TATACGTATTAAAGAAATATGTTTGAAATCAAATATACTGTATATATATACTGATATATTTCAAGATTTATTTACTTTAATATTATATGATTTTTTTATCAGTTGAATCTTTTAAATGATTCATTCATTTCAATACATATTTATTAATAAATACAAATTTTTCATAAAAAATTAGTTTCAGGAGTGACAGGATTGCAACTATTTCAGTGGAACCACAGCACCTGCTAACTGGTAACAGCTAAAATGCTACATCATGCTAAATAAAACCAAGATTTAAACTTTTAGGTAACTTAAACTTTGAGGTAAACTTAAACTTAAGGTAAATGATTTAATAAATTAGTTTTTAGAAGCTCATTGACTCTGCCGCCATCACCCAAGGTGATGATAGGCGTCTAGACTGTTGAACTGTGGGCACAGGAACCAACAGCCTAACAGATGCTTCTGCTCCTTCCTTCTTCAATCTAGCTGCTGCAGATGAACTATTTTTAACCAAAGTTTTATGAAAGCTTTTCAAAATAAGAGTCACAAAAAATAACACTATTATGAAATAAAAAAAATACATTAATAGATACATCTTTAAATAAATAAATTGGTTTCAGAAAAAGATAAATCACTAATAAAATGTTCATCTTGAAATAAATACATCCTTAAATAGATCAATACATCGATGTATTTTTGGGTATTTCATGGGTAATTGCATTTATTTGATGGAATGTTTAGTAATCATTTATTTATAACTTAATATTTTCATTTATTTAATTTTAAAATAAAACTGATTTCCATACATTTTTGCCTATATTAAATCTAGATTTGGAGTTAATGCTTCTCTGTGAAAATGTTTTTCGACATCAACTGTATGCAATTCACTTGCGGTAGCCTGAATTAAACTTGATCATCTTGTACCTGTAGGGTTATTTTTGATGATCTCCTTCCTTGGGTTCTATCTAAATTATTCTCCTTGAACTAAAAAGCATTAAACTTCCTGCAGATGCATTTAGATGGGCAGGTTTATGTTCTCTGTGCTGAACCTCGATGCTGAGAGCTGAGATGTTTCAAACATCTTTTCACAGTCAGTAAACAGCACAACAATAGCTGGAGGGAAGAGAGCGGAGGCCTCATTGGAGCTGTGCTACGGAGGCCGCCCATCTAATGGAGCCGACCCACTCATCTGTGTGACAGCCAAAAAATTAAAAGATACAGAGAAAAAATGGGAAAAATAGACATGGGGAGCGTGATTGTGATGATTATTCAGAGCCATCTAAAAATCCATCTGTCAGATTATCGCCCACCTCCATGCTGCTCTGAACGGGGCGGTGAAGACAATAAATAGAAAAAATTCGATATCATGTGGGCTTTGTTTTCATGCTAATTACACCAAACACAAAATGAATCATATGAGTGCAGCACAAAATGGAAAACATTTCCTATACATCATAGATCATCAAGACTTCAAGTATTTCAGGTAAACCACCGATTTCATTCCAATTAAAGCTAAAATTATACAGAAAGAAGCAGTCGCATACTAAATAGCTTTTAATATTTCCAGTAACATTTAGTGTCTCCTTATGGAGTTTGCTGTCCACTGTCGCCACATACATGCCCTGTAGGAGGGATTACTGGACAGTTGTCTAAATGCAATCCACAGCTGCCACTGTTTTGTTTAAGCCGGGCATATATTGTGACATTTTTTGCCCTTTTCGGGACGATTTTCCAGTCGTGCGAGAATTTTCGGGCCGAGTTCGGCCTCATCATTCGTCGTGCGTGATGAGGAATCGTCACGATCAAGAATCTAAGGGCCGGAGAAAATCAAACCTATTTGAAATTCAGTCAGCCGTTGCAAGGTCGCATCAGAGCGTCAAGCCGCACGGTGTGAGAACATGCATGGTGAGCTGCAAACTTTTAAGCCCTGTGGTTTCATCTTACAGTTTGATCTGTAGCTGCGTGCAATGATTGAAAATATCGCACAGTGTATGCCCGGCTTTAATAGGAGTAGCTGCTGTAGAGTTCAGGGCCTCGATTCGATCAGCTGCTTAAACTGAGTCTGACTGCCGTTTTATAACTAGGGTCAGAGTAGATAAAATTGACTCTGCATCTCTCAATCTGTGTTTCTGTATAAAAACTGGATTATTTTGGATTGGTAAAGTGCCCTGAAACGACTCTGAGATCTGAATCGATGCTTTATGAATAAACCAAACTGAGCTGAATGCAAGCTTTTCTTAAACTTTTTCTTTGGTAACTCGATATGAAAAATGAATCTGCTACAACATGCAATGAAAGGGCAAAGAAGTATTCAGTCAGCTACAGATTGTACAGATTCTCCTATTTAGAAATGTGAGAGATTTTAGATAATTATGTTCAATAACAGTGATCTGGCTTAAATATCACATTTTTTCAACCGAATCCAATTCATATTTCTTTCTCCCTAACTTAAAGGGCAACAACTTTCAAGCTGTAAAAAAGCTTAATAAACAATGTTTCACAACAATGAAAACATTGAACAAAAATGGATGAACTGATGTCCGCCTGAGTTATCAGCCTAAGAAGAGTATTGGTGGGGAAAACAAATCCAGAATTTTAATAAATTAAATCTTCATAAACAGAAAATTTGATTAATCAACTTTATAGATTAACAGCCCTGCCCTACTTTGTAGCTTAACCTTTCCAACAATAGCAGTGTTGTTGTTGTTGTTGTTATTGTTATATCAGAGGTTAACCGTTTACTTTAACTCTGATTAGTCATCCTGTCTCCTTTGCAAAAAAACAGCCCCAGAGCATGATGCTTCCCCTCCCATGCTTCATAGTAGGTACGCTGATCTTGGGATATATCTCAGCATTTTTCTTCCTCCAAACCAAATACTTACTTCCCACCTTAATTTACAAACAAATTCTTTAAAAGTCCCACAATCTGATTTTCTGGATTTTTTTTATGATGAAAATGGAGCCTAGGAGGAAGTTCAACTGAATAAGCTGATTGCTTGCCCACATCCACCAACGACATAGCCAGTCAGCTTTGAACCACACCGCAACCAAAGCCATCGGCATCCAAAGTTCATCTTAAAAGGCTTCCGATACGCAACTTGTCTACTACCTAGTGTGCAGGTGGTGGTAGCGCTGTGTATCATTCAGATGACCCTGTTTTAACCCACTCCCAATGGGAGTGTTTTCCTCTCCACTGTCACTTCATGCTTGCTCGACATGGACAGGTTCTCTCAACCTGTGTTATCTAACTAGACTTCCATCTTCCAGGTAACTGAGTGAAGCTAACCAGCAGTCTACAGACTGACCAACTTCATCTATCTCCACTCCACCATCACTTTCAGGCCTGGGGGGAAAACAGCGCTATTCTTTGCTCCTGTTCATGCATGTCTATAAACATGCAGCGCTATGTTTCCTGCCGAGGTCTGAGCACCAAAGACAAAGTAATTGTATCAAAAAATGTCTTCTAAATGTCCTTTCTCTCTGTGTGAGTTTTCCAGATTGAAACATAACAGATCCTCTCATATTTCCAAGTAGGAGAACATTAGCAATAAATACTTTTTTGTCCAAACGATTTACACTTTTTTTGAAAACACACAGTGATATTCTGCAAAATTGTTTAACCGAATATTTCCTTCCATTAATATACTTGGATCAGTTAATTATAAACTTTTTCTAGCAATGACCTTATGCAGTTTCCACCCCTTACCAGTCCTCCCCCTAGGATTACACAAATACTCATTATAACAGAAATCTCTATGTCTATGGTAGCGTGTAATATTTTATTTTGAGCTACACTAAATTGTAGATGTAAGCAGACAAACAATGTTTCAAAGTATACTGGTGATCTTTGTGTTATTGATGAATATGATGCCCATTTGAAGAGTATATTAAACAACTGTTGAACTAAAGAGCCTTTTCCCTGATGTTCTAATTGATTGAGATTCAGCTGCACAGAGTGCGGGCTGGTGAAGTGTGTCGCTTTCTGTACCTCGTTAAACGATGTCAAGTTTAGCTTTTTGGCGATGAACTTTTTGAGGTGGAGGACGGTGGCTTGTGCCGAGCAGCGGATCCATTTACGCTTCAGACCTCGCAGCTTGCTGCTGTTGCACTCCAGGCAGATGCTGACCTGTTGGACGACACACAGAGAGATGATGATTATCTACGACCTACAGACACTAAGAGGACAGAGGGGGTTATCAAATGTTCACATGGTTATATAAGCGTGCGGAAAGCATAGCAGAGTTATAATTATGTTAATGCTAGAAGGAAATTTCAAAACTTATCTTTGAGGTGTTTATTTACTGCAGAGAGAGATTAGACAGTGAAGGTAAAAATTGAAATATAAGTTAATTTTTCTTGAACTAAGTATATCTTCCTTTGATTTGAGTAGGTAAGCAAGACAATTTCCCAATGAAATAAGATGATATACCCTTGAAATAAGGGGGGGAAAATCCTTTATTTTATTTCAAGTGCATTATATCTAATTATCTTGTTTTAAAGATAAAATATTAATTCAGGCAGGACACCATTTTACTTACCTGGTGAAATTATGGTGTCCCCTGCCCCCTTCTAAATGCATTGATCATCATTCTATCCCCCTCGCTTTTTGATCCAGCAACACTTACCCCCCACTCCCATAATCATCTAGTTCATTCTGATCTGTATTATTCTAACCTATTTTCACTAAACGTGTCTTGTATACATTTACATTTTTGCTTAAATTGTGCATTTGTTTGCTGTTTACTAAAGATTTAAAAAAAATGTTTATAAGCCTATACTTATAAAACAAGTTTTTTTTCAGCTGTAATTATCCAAATAATTCTTATTTTACTGTACTGCATGTGTGACAGGTAATTGCTATGGTTTAAAATTATTTTTTTGCGGCTTCTGTTACGAAGCAGAGGCACAAGTACTCACTGTTTTAATTTTCCAGCCCTCACACTGCAGACCTTATCTGCACTTCTGCAGAGTGCACACTTCACAGAGGGGCGAAGGGTGTAGTGCGAGTATCGAGTAATGAGACAGGGACAGTTTCAAATATTCAAATGAAATGGCCACCGTTGAATATATTACTTATTAATCTTAAGGCCAGAGGGACAAGCAGCGATGTTATCAATATGGTTCACATTCTGGCTTTTATGTGTCCCAAGAACATTTTTTTTTAAATGACAAATGTCATTCAGACCATCTGTTGGTCGTTGAGGATGTTCTACCTAAAGTTAAAAACACAGTAATCCTCAGACTTAGTGATTGACTAATGTCACAGCTCTGCAAGGTTTTATTGGTTTTATCAGTTTAATGCATTAAATAAAAACTGTAGCAGGAACAAAAGCAAAATCAAAAGGATCTATTTTTCCATCTCATTTTCCAAATTGGCTGCAATCTGTTGCAGCAACAAAAAGCGTTAAGTCTATGTTCAAGTCATTTGCAGCAGCTATGATGTTTTCTTCCCATATTCTCTATCCATCTTCCCATCACCTCTGAACAAACTTTCCTGCCACCACAGAACTTCCTCTTTCGCCATAGAAGAGTGCATTTAGGGCGATCACCCTACGGTTTTCCACCCGAAAATGGTGTTTTTTAGAAAAAACAGCCACAAATGGATCTGGTGCATTTATTTATAGGAATCAAGAGAGAAGGAGCCTGTATGCAGATAATATTTATATGGCAATCCATGTATGATTTAATTACACTTCATAATAATATTGTAAAACATTAAAATTTTAAATGCTGCAGCCAAAGTTCTGATGAAAACTAAAAAAAAGATCATATTTCTCCTATCTTAGCTTCTCTTTATTGGCTTTGTGCTGAATCCAAAATAGTATTTAAAATCCTCCTTCTCACCTATGAAGAAGTGGAGGCAGCTCTTTAAGTTATCAAGCTCCTCTTCTCTGAAACAACCAGTTTTAGTTTGTAAGGCAAACACCCTATCTACTTTTAAAATTAGGCTTAAAACTTTCATTTTTTATAGAACTCGGAGTGGACCAGGTTATCCTGAGTTATATTTGCAGTTATGCTGCTATAGGCTTAGACTACCGGAGGGCATAGGGACCCCTTTTTATCTTTCTGCTCCTTTGTATTTCTATTCTGCCATTCTACAGTATATGTTTCTTCAACCCTTAACTTTATGTTCTCCTTATCATTTATCATCCTTGTAGCTTCATCTGGTCTGTTCCTATTTGGCTTTGATTCCATCCAAGAGAAATATCAGCAGAGCAGCCACCATCAACAAC